TTTATGAAATTAACGCCTAGAATAACTTATACTAAGGGTTAAAATATTAGCTTGCTACCCCTTTTTAGCGCCATTGCAACCCCCTTGTTATACTCTACATCACCGTTATAAGGGTATGTTAAGATTGTCCTTCCATTTGATATTTTTATAATTTCCATTTTTTAAGTCAGTGAAAATTAAAATTAACAAATCTGCTATGCCGACTATCAAAACATACCCAGGAAAACTTTGGTAATCACTTTTAATTGCAACCATTTACCTATTAACATACTTCCCAATAACTACTGCATATCGTCCTGATAACAAAGAAGTAGTCTAATAATGCCTTATTAATAATATGTTATATAAATACTTTCCAATTTATAAGTAAAAAGCAGTTTTTTTATACAATTTACATAGACTAATTTGTAGTGTCCGACCGAACGTTCGGGCACGGGTACTAAGTTCGGTAAAAAGTGAGGTTCGGCCAATGTGTGCGAAATTTTGACCGAACGCCGAACTTTTTATAAAATTCTTATTTATCAAAATACTGAAAATGTGTTTACAGAAGTGCTAAAGGTGGAATGAATTATCGTACATCTTGGTTGTACAATAAAATATAACCAGAATTTTAGCTCGAAAACCAAATTTCCTATATACATTTGGACAATTTCGTGTCAGTGACCTAACTCAAAAAATCGATTTGGATGAAATTTGCCGGACTTAGAGGGGGTCAAATGAGTGTAACTTGTCACCTATTGGTCCTAGCAAAAATTCAGATAGCAATTTCAAAAAAAACAATATTTTTTTTAAATAATATTTTTTCGACTTTTTTGCTCAGATGAAAGCGTATACAATTTCCTTAAGGGCTAGGTTCTTATTCGAAAAAGGTCTAGACATCTCTATCTGCTTGTCTCTTGGAAGCACGATAGGACCTAAACGGCAAGAGGTAAATAGAAAATTTACTTAAATATTTTCTATTGTTGCAATTTGAAAATGGACAAAATATTTGAACATGGACTCCATATAAAGTTCAATTTGATTTTACCGTTCATAACAGGCTTAAAAATACTACAGTCAAACTCGCTTATTACGAACTCGGTTATAACGAATTCTCGTTTATTACGAACTATTTCTCAAGTCCCTACATTTTGATAACTATTTTCATACAAAAAATATCTCTTATAACGATTTCGCTTATAACGAATATTCTGACAAAACGAACTACCTTTTCTCTCTGAAAATCGAATTTAGTCCATAAACAGCGTTGCCATAATTTTTTTTTCAAAAACTTCAAATTTAGAGAAAAAAAACTGATTTTCAACTGAAAAAAACTGCCAAAAAATTTATAATTCAGTTCATATATTTTTTTATTAAAACATAACAAAACATAACAAAAAATAACAAAAAATAACAAAAAATAACAAAAAATAACAAAAAAATAACAAAAAATAACAAAAAAATAACAAAAAATAACAAAACAAGTGAAATTAAATACATATAATAAAAAATATAAATATAATTCAGTTTTATAAAAAGTATTTGAAATAACATGCATTTTCGTAAATTGAGTTTATTTCTCCTGGCACTTAATACTAATTAGATTTGTACATTTCTTTGGTAAATTTGATTGCCATTTCTTTTGATTGCACGAAATTGCTGCAATTACTGTTATTTTTTTAAGAAAATCTTTAGTTCTTAAAATGCCACACAGTGTTGGCACTTCTAATCTGTTCCTAGTTTTATTTTTATTAATATTAATTTGTGAAAAAATTCTTTCAACATTAGCAGTTGCAACAGGTACTGACAAAATTGCATATACCAGTTTTTTTAAATTAGGAAAAGCTTTAGTTCCGTCGCCACGTTTTGTTTTAAATATGACTTCCCAAAAGGTTTCAATATTTTCTTCTTCTAATAAACCCAAGTCTTCAAAATTAATGTGCAGTAGTTCACGCCACTCATCATCTGTTTCTTGAATGTAGTTCATTTCTACTACATTTGGCACAAAACTACATAATTTAAAAATACTTTTATTGTTATTTTTCACAATATTAGCAGGTGCTATGACCTCAACGCATTCTAAAAAATCATTTTCAAAATCAAACTTTTTTAAGAGTGAATTGCAAAGCTCAACGTAAAATTGTAAGCAATGATTTCTGAAGTCCTTTTCGCGTTCCTCAGATAATTTAGTTAGAGCTAAGGAAACTTCCGCACCTAAATAAATATCCTTTGGATCTTTTAAAAATGTGGAATTGTTAATATCAATCTTTTTAAATTTCTTAAAACATATATATTCTTCCTTTACTATACATTCAAAAAATTTTCCGTATAAACGGTTTATTGTACTATTTAATAAATGTATTTTTGGGCTTTCGTTTTGAAATAGACGGTTTAGTTTGTTAATATCACTTAATATAAATTTTAAAAATAGTAAATATAATTCAAATTCTGGATTATGTAAATAATTTATTATTCTTTGTGTAGAATCAAACTTTTCTACGTCTTCGTGTAAAAAAAATAGTTTTAAGACTTCTAATCTGCTCAAAATCTGATTTACAGTAGCTTCGAGCGATAGCCAACGCGTTTGGGAAGGGTGCAACATTTTTCTGGGATTATAATCCAGCAACGCTTGTAATTCTGAAAATAATTCAACTCGTTTGGGACTATTTTGAATAAAATTGTATATATCCCTCGCACCACCTTCAATATATTTCGGTAAAAAATTACATGCTGAATTTGCGCAAAGAGCGAACGAGTGGCAAATACATTTAAATATAATTAAATGTGGACAATCTTTTTTCAGCAGTGTAGCAACAGAATGGTTACCACCAGTCATTACATTGGCACCATCCGCAGCAAAACCTATTAAGTTTGTTTTATAATTTATATTATTATTTTTGAAAATATTTACTATTTCTTCATAAATCCCTTTGGCGGTACAATCACGCACTTTAACCAAATCAAAAAAAAAGTCACAAATTTTTTCTTTATATTCAACTCTTACGACTAGAGATAACAACTTAGTAGTTGATACGTCCGTTGATTCATCGACGCACAAAGAAAACATTTTTGCACGTAGTATACTACAGAGTTCTTCTTGGTGAGTCTCGCCTATAACGTTTTTCACTATAGATGTTGTCTTTGTTCTAGCACATTTTGTTTTCTTTACGAGCGCCGAATCCTCAATAGTTTCTTGGAGTAAAGGAACTAGATGATCCATTGCCGAAAATGGAACATTATGTTCTGCGCAGAACGCTGCTAAATGGAGTTCAATATTTGATATTTTGGCACTATACTTTACTGAATCGCTTAGTGATACCTTAGAACTTTTTTGAATTTGTACAGCTGTTGTTCTTTCAACATGTTTAGATGTCAAAGCATGAGCCTTTAAATCTGACACTCCAGCTAATGCTTTTAGCTCACAACAACAAACTTTACAGTACGCCAAATTATTATCGCTTCTCCTGATCCACGATTTAAACATTTCTTGCTCCTCCCACGATTTATTGTAACCACTCAATTTTCGTTTTCGATTTTTACTTGAGCGAGGTGGGGATTCTGCAATATGTATCACATCTGCCCGCAAATTTTCAGTTTCTTTATCTAGTAAATTAATGCTTGTTATTTAATGTACCTACATATAAAAATAACAGTTTTCTTACCATTTCTTACTAAATATTTATCCATATTAGTGGTAAGTTAAAGAAAAATATTTTGTGAGTTGCATATGCAGAAGAAACCTTAGTATTACTTTGTGAACTAAACTAACAAACTATAATAGCAAACTCCATATAGAGAAACATAACTTTCTTAGACATAAAAATGTGGGAATTCCCTCTTTCTTTGTGATCAGTGGTGCAAAAAATAGTATGTATATGATAATTACATTGTCGCATTAAAAAAGTATGAGTAAAATTATGGCTTTAGAAATTGGAATTAAAATAACAAAATTGAAATTAAAAACTTTAAAGGTAAAAACTGCAAAATCTGCATAATTTACAGAAAAACTTACTTTTTTAAACAAAAAACTTTAAAACTTTCAATGCTTAGAAAAACTGCAAAATGCAGATAAATCTGCACATTTGGCAACGCTGTCCATAAATGACCCAAGTGCCCATTAAAGACCCTCTTCCAAAAATCTACCTTGTATTTTTTGTTATTTTTTAATCATTAATCCATTTTCTATTTAATAGCAAAAAGTTCGTGTTCACCGAACTTTAACATTATGTTCGAGTTCGATACCGAACGAAATTTTGAGTTCGGTCGGACTCTACTAATTTGTATAAATACTTTAAGCGATTGTGGTATGTACTTGACTCCAATGACATCACCGTGTTAAAATAATGACTTAAAATGTTTTTGCTGGGCAGGTAGCAAATTTAAAGTAAATTTCGGAAATTATGAATCTATACTTTCGGAATTGATTTCACGTTTTACTTATTTATAAGTATTAGGCTGAATTGTATAATCATATATCATAATATAATATCAGGGTGATTCAGGATGATTCAAAAGATAACTGTAATGGGACTTGAATCAATTATGTATCGAATTCTTCAGAATATGCGAGATTAATTTAAGAAAGTAATTTTTGTTGAATTTTACCTTAATTTTTATGCGATTTATTAACAAAAAGTGGATTTCTTTAAAAGAGTTTGTAGAGGAACTATAACTTATTGTGGACCGATTCTCATTATTTATTAAGGAGATTTTGGGTTTTAGAAAACTTATTTATATCGAAGTTTCTATATATTGGCATTTTCTTTAGATGGCCTTGTATAGGGAATAGAATCAAATGTTGTCCGATTTTCATAATACTTTTTATGTTTAATTGACATATTATTTAATAATAAAGTATCGGAGAGATTTTTAGGGGGACTAGATGGAAGCATGAACCAATATTCTCCATTTTAAAGATTTTAAATTGAAGGGTGTTCACAATTCGCTGCAGTCAAATATAATACTCTCACTTTTTTCCTTGATAAAAATGGTGCTAAACGGATCGTATTTCAAAAGTATTTTTCACCACAAAATGTTTCTTAATAAAAAGGGTTGTTATTGGTTTGATTATTATTACAAGACATTATCCTAGAAAACTTAACTACACAAAAATTTGATTAACAAAATGAATATGCGAAAGTAAAAACAAAACGCATTATTATCAAATTACATAAATTCTGTTCGATTTTAAAGAAAAACGTGCTGAAATATTTAAAACGATCATGTCAAAGCCCACTTTCATTTATAAATTTTCTCAGAAAATTTATAAAAGATCTTTATTTAGCTCATTCGTTATCGAATAGATTCGAAACAACTCTATTTTGATAAGATCAAAATAGGGTTCTTGAGTCTTAAATAATGTATGTAGTTTAAGAAACTATATAACCTAGTCGAGCTTAAGCTATGTGTAATTCCCTGTATTCCAATAATACTGGATTTAAAACAGTTTTGAATCTTTTTAAACATGAATCAAAATATTCAAAATTCGTAAATAGAGTCAGTTTAATAAGTATATACCCCACGATATATTTGAAATTACCAATATGTATACGACTATGTATTAAAAAAAAACTTTTTCATTAAGTCATTTAATAGATTTTAATAAAGTATAGGATGTTGATATTACAATGACTACATAAATATAATGTTCAAAAAGGATAATAATGTTCAGTTAATTGATTAAATGTCGATATACGCTTATTTTTGCGAACAAAAGTCAAAATGAAATTATGAATTAGAAAAAAATGTCAAAGAAAAATAAAACAAACCGTGCAAATGAAAATGATGAATGACTTTAGCAAATGCAAAGAAAGGGTTAAATTAATATTGATTACAAAATGAATAAATGAAATTAATATATTTGCGATACTGCGAATATTTTAATCATAAAGCAACCACCACCTACAAACTGCCTCCTCCTCCACTGGCAGCAAATACTTATTCATTTGACAATCAATCTAATGACAAAGTTATTTTTTTCATAGTTTTTTCCGGAAACATTAAACTCAAATATCAACATAAATACACACGTAACGGCTTTACTTGCCACACACTCACACTCCTTTATAAACACTATTGTTTTCTAAATACACTTGCAACTAGGACTTACTATCAACACTCACAGCACACCCTTGTTAAGTAAATATTTTGAAAACTTGCATAATGAACATTTTTTATAGTTTTTCTTAGTGTATTTTTTATACAAAAAAAAAAACTATTTTATTTTTTTATTATTTTTTATTTATTCTGCAATTTTTTATTTCAATGAGTTGTTTACACTGCAGCAAATAAGAAACATTCAAGTTTTCAGTTAAACGTTTTTGAATCTCATCACAATTGTTGTCAGTATATTGTGATAGTTGGTAATGGTTGTCCTTCATCTATGGCATACAATTTCAATAGAAAACTATCAAATGTTTACTTTAAAAGTGTTCTAAATCTGGATTTGTTTAAACTTTTTTAAAATAATTAAAAAAAATATATTTCATAGGCTTAATTAAAATAAAACCCCTTAAAAATTAAACAAAATTGTAATAAAGAAATGATTTGTGCATCAATAAAAATTATAAAATAAGTCTTAGAATTGACTTAATACACTTTCATAATAATCTCTTTATATGTAATTTTTAATACAGCTCTACTGTTTCATTTCCTTTCCTTTTCAATAACATATGATAAATATTCAATACCAATTTTCTTATGTTTTTAAATGTATTTTTTACCATTCGAACTACATATTTGTTTTACGGCCACAACAAATATTTACTCGAAATACATAGAAAAATAAAAAACAAAAATACATAAAACTTGTACAATTTGATGAACATGTTGGAAAATTTATTTGCAATATTTGTTTTGTATCGCAAATACTACATGGAGTAATTTTCCTTTGTGTCCAGTTAGTTTTTTTTAATGGACATGTTTCCATTTCTTTTCCTTGTTTAAATGTTTTTTTTTTTTTTCTTTTTTGTTGTTTGTTGGAGAAAAAGGACATTTTTTAAATTTGAAATTATTTGTTTCAATTCTTGATTGTAAGGTATATAAGTGTATGTGTTTGGAATTAAAAATGAACTTTATTGCAAGTTGATAAATAAATATAGAAAAACTTTATATTTGAACAAAAGAAACAAATCAATTTGAAACTCAGAGGACAACATCTGTAGTATTAGCTTTCACAACACAGTTCCAAATTTTTTTAACACTCCCGAAAATTTCGAAAAAATACCAAAATGTTTTCCTATTTTAAACATTTAAGAAAAAAGTTAATAAAAACTATTTTTTGACACCCAAACTATATATATTCTGGGTCCTTCCTTTAACGAGAGCATGAAAATTTCCACAAATGATCTCTATGAATATGGATAAAATAGACAATATCTGTACCTAGCCCCTATAAAATGTCCTACGACCCATATAACCCCATTATGTTTACTGTCCATAAATACTACATATTAAGACAAAATTCAGGATGCATCTGGTATTTGGTTATTTGTATTCTAGCCTTTCAATCTGGAGGTCGTGAGTTCGATCCTCGTCAGAAATTTTGGTGAAGAAGCTCATAACAGGCATAAGTGTATTTATACCCTAAAAGCAATATAAATAAAAATCTCTTTAACTTTCATATTTACTTTTCATGGGAGAAACCACTATCATTATACACATTTTTAACTTTGTATAAAATTGTTGCTAGTCCACTAATTTATTCGCCAAATGTTAACATGAATGACAAAGTTGTTCGTGCAACATTTGAGGATTCTAGCTCCAATGACGTCCCACATAAATATATTAGATTTTTTTTATTTAATTCATATGAGAGGTGCCACGCCTCCTGTTGGTAATACGCCAATTTATTACCTAAATGTTGTCATGGATGACAAAGTTGTTCGTGCAAAATTTAAGAATTCTAGAACTAAGCGTTTTTTCAGATATTCACATTTTTGTATTTAATTCATATGGGAGGTGTCACGCCCCCTATTTCTAGTCCTCCCATTTTTCCTTCAAATTGTTTATTTGGATTTCAATGTTGCCCGTACAAACTTTTAGGATTCTAGCTCTTATACTTTCCCAGATATACGATTTTTTTTATTTTATTCATATGGGAGGTGCCACGCCCCTATTTCTAATTGTCCAAAAAATTGTACAAATTTTGAGGACTCTAGTTGTACCATATTCCGAGATATTCGAATTTTAAGATTAAGACTAAAAAGATTGATCCATAAAGATCTATGCTAACACACGAATTCAACACACATATGGATCCTTCTAAATAAACAAAATCATTAACAGAAAACTAACATATACATTAAATAAATATATGAAAAATCTATTCATACACACATCATTAGCATATTCCTATGCCAAATTTAGCATATGACCACATAAAATTTCTAGCAACATTGTGAGAAACTCATTCATCTTAATAATTACGAGCTTATAACGAAGAATGATGTGTTTAGTACGTTTAAAGTTGGTATGACCATCAGCAGCACCATCGTCTACATCGTCATTAGGTCCGGTATTAAAATCACCATTATTTTGTACTACTCGTATGCATGGAACACATAAATAAGTATGAATTTTGAGAGGAAACAGTTTTGCATAAATGAGGGTGGAAATCGTACACAAACGCATAAATTCAAACACCCATTACTCACATACATGCCAGCGGTAACGCTTAACGGGGCTTTATTTCACAGGCCTTATGAAATTCATTGCTCTCGTTTTTTTAATGACGATACTCCTTTCGACTTCCTTTCTTTTAAACTAAAGTTGTTTTATTTCGATCTTTCTAAATCGTTATACCTAATATTTCTTAGAACATTAAAAATACTTCTCCAAAGTCCTTTAAAAGAACATATTTTGCAGGTCTGAACTATACTCTAGTTTCTGGACTAAATAAAGCAT